CGTGTTCGTTCCCCACTGCATACACCTGTGGTCCGAAGTTTTGCAAATATCTCAGCGTTTCATACGAGTTATAATTCGAAACATACCCTGCCATTAAGAAGAAAAAGGCAGTAAATAAAAGAGTTAAGACTAAGTTGATTGTTCAGATCGCGGAACAACAACAATATTTGTGCTGGAGCCCATCACCTCATGATCACGAGGTGAAGTTTTTGAAACAGGTATGACACGAATTCTTTTTCTGTTTTTGTGCAGTTCCTGTTTTCGACATCAGCATGCAATTGCCTTACAATGTCATTCCTTCTTTATAACACAAAAAATCTTATTCTGATGTTGATGCTGATTTTTTAGGCTTGTACACAAGCGGTTTTCTTCGTCACGGCAATCATCATATATTTCTATCCTCCACATTTTGAATCTCGATGGGTCAAATTCGGTTTCGCAACTATTAATTGGATATCGGTTCACGTCGCAGATGGGTGCGTTCTTTATGGCACTATACTTGTCACCAGTCCTCATTTTTTCCGCACCACAGTCTCAACGCTTGTTATCCACTTAATAACAACAACCGATTACCATCAGAGAATGCTCTATGTTCTATTTTTGGAAACAGCATTGATGGGCAGTGGAAAAATCTGAAGAACCGCGTTGATTTTTGAAAGAATTTTGTCTTCCCAGAACTAAGGGTCCCTGGGGTCGATTCGTTTTTTCAAATGATCTTCTGGAAATATGACATTCTGCTGTCATTTTGAGTGTTTTTTAATAGCACTTGACCTGTCATCACATTTACTGTGTGGATCCCAGCACTTCTTGAGTTCGATTCAGTTTCCTCGCATTCTGTGGTGGTGAATACACTAGCCCACGGGAAGGGTAATAAAGGGTTCGATCCCTCCCGCGGACTCCTGCTATCTGAAGTTTTGCAAATGACTCAAGATCGCTGTGGTTGCATTCCACCTTGCCCTGAAAAATTTTAGTAGGCCGTAAATGAAAAACGAACGTTGGGTCTTCGAAAAGTTCGTGTGTTGTTTCAGCTGGTGCTTGAGGATTTCGTCTTCTTTATGAATGTCGTAGAATGCTGGTTGAGTCAATTCTCTTTGCAATGTTGGAATTAGCCGAACTAAGGCGTTCCCACGTAGATTGGACGAAACTTGGGGCGTGGGTCAAACTGTCGCCTTTGCTTCCTGTTAGACGGCCTCATTACTCCCTTATTTCTATATTCTCACTCAAAATATTCTCTTTTATGAGTGTAATAAACTTTTGTCGTTCCTTTTATTTATTGGGCAACCACTTGATTCTGTGAGGCCGCCGTCAGTCACCAGAACTGATTTGTAGACTTCGCTCAATCAAAGGACATGAAGAGCATCGTACTTTTGACATGATGCTCTTTTCTAGATAGCTTACCTAGAATTTAGACATAGGCAACAAGGCGGACTCTAATATGGCGTAGGTTGACTCTTAGTCGTCGTTCTGGATGGAAATAGCGAACCCTTTGTATCTTGAATGATTTTGGTAGGTGGCTGAACCTTCCGATGAATACATCACGCAATGAAGTCTAACGGCCGTGAACACCAACCTCTATTCAGTACAACACGATAATTCAAAAGACCAACTTTCTGTAAAGCTCGGCATAGTAATCAATCTGTCTCTACACATGTTCTTACGAACTTCCCTTTTCTTTAGCCGACCCGAGGTTAGCATAGATGTTCTCATTGGTTGTCTTTGTTCTGTGCCTGATGTTTCAGTGACATTGCCTCCCTCAGAGTCTTGCTATCGGATGATGATGAGTACTTATCATCACTCGTGAACAACATATGGGTGGTCCAACGGCAAGGCTCTGAGGAAGGCGGACTCGCCTAACCGTCGGCCATTGAACAAAAGACAACAATAACAATAAGAACATCTATACCAACCTCGGCTCGGCTTAAAAGAGGCAGTTCGTAGAAACATACATAGAGATACATGATACAATGAGTAACTAAAATAGAGGTAGTAAGATGGAGGGGAGTTATCATTGAAACAGGCAAAAAAAAAAGAATTTGCGACTGTATCTCAGTAATAAGATGAAAATGTGTTTAGATTGATTACGATCGCTTACAATCGGATATTTCGTAGAGTACTTTGTCGGGCTAAACCATGTGAGTCGTCTGATCATTCTTCACCAAAAAGTTTCTTTAACGTCAAAATTCTCATACACAGTAGTACCTCAAAGTGTATCATTTCTAATAGAATGACAATCTAATAGTGCAACGGTACTTATATGAATAAGTGAACAAAATTGATGTTGAAGGTAGTTTACAAAAGATGCAGTTATTTTACCTAGAATTTAGACATAGGCAACATAGCGGACCCGATTGTGGTGGCATAGGTTTACTCTTACCTGTCATTCCGGGTGAAATATCGAAATCATTCTATTTTCGATAATCTTGGTAGCTCGATGAACTTTTCGATGAACACATCATATACCGAAGTTCAACAATCATAAACACCACCTATCTAGTTATATCCCTGCAATTATGTACTTTTATTCAACACTAAAGGCGCGTGGGGCGCAGTGGTTGGAGGCGCCCTGCAACACGCACGGGGAATGGATTCTCGCGCCCATGTCCCACCAAAGCTTCCATCCGTTGGTAAACTGATACCAGACTTGTCTGCGAGGATAGCAGCACTGACTCGATACATCGGTAGGCCACCGCAGGTTATTGTAAAGGCCAGATATGCATTCAATCACCTCCAAATGATGCTTAATAAAGTCGAGTGCATGGCGCATTCCTCAGAGATTGATCAATGCCGACAACTTTATCCTTTATCCTTCTATTCAAAACTAGTTTTCTTTTGCATTATTTGTTTATAGTTAATGTTCATGCTTAGCGACCGTTACGACGAAGACTTAATAGTTCCACGACGGAGCTCATATTCACTCAGACGGCGGGAATAACTATTTTTTCTAAATATTATTTGTAATGAATGTGTTATAGATGAATTGTAAATAAAGCAAAATAATAAGTAATAAGAAAAAGTAAAAATATTCGATGATTCGATGGTGTTTCAGTCACTCCTACCAACTCCTTTGGCACACCCTTTCTAAGCGATCTTTTATAGGTGTACCCACTTTATTGGAAATGAAGGCAGGATAAACGGCACCTTATTCTCGGCAGACATATGGCTTGCGTGCGTGTTTGTTCCTTTAAAGTTGCCGGAGCCACTGTTTCGTATCCATATGGATAATTACTATTTAATAAGAACCTCGTGCGTGTTTATGAAAAATAAGTAGTAAGTCTAACCGTAAACAATGATGGATCGGTAGACGCAAGAACATCGCTGGATACTAGCTTGTGAGTTTTTATAAGCAGGTACAAAACGGGACATGTTGGTAAGTCAACTTTTAGTTGAGAGATAATTGATGGTTTTAAACCAGCATCTCTTGCATCTTGACCCATTCCTGGTTCAATTTTCGGCATTCACTTTTAAATAATAAACTAAAATTATTATTATGATCATTATTAATAATTATTAATTATTATTATCATTATTATTAATTATCATTACTATTTATTATTACTATTATTGATTACCATTATTATTAATCATTATCATTATTGATTTTTATTATCAATCATTATTGCCATCATTATTAATTATCATTATTATTTATTGCTATTATCATTATTATTGTTATTTTGATCATTATTATTGTTATTATTAATTATTATTAGTTCTTATTAATTATTGTTATATTAATTTTTATTCTTAATTATTATTAACGTCACTATTAATTATCATTACTATTTATTATTACTATTATTGATTACCATTATTATTAATCATTACTTGATTGAGCAAGCAACTCGAAATAGTACTCATGAAGGGTTTGCATGATGGCATTAATAATCGAAAATTATTTAAGGTCACATATAGAGCTCTGCTCGCCTATACTCTAGTAGATACAGATAAATTACTTGTGATTATATCTAGCTCTACTTTATCTCTTTAGGGATCAGCGTGCAACACCGTTGACAATCGTTGCAAAAGACCTGATTATGTGTGACATAGTTGACATCAAAGCGATTTACAAGGAAAAAAGTAACGTGTTCAGCGCTGATCAACCCTTGAGGGATTCGACACGAACTCGATTCCACTAAACATTATGAGAGGTGTTTGAATGCGTATTTTTAAAATTTTTTATATGATTCGTCTTCACGTTTGTAGTGCGGATCCCAGCATTTCTGACATTCGATTCGTTTCCTCGCATTCATTTTCCACGAAGATGTTCCGACTTTTATATGTGGCTGGCTAGTGGTCGAGGATTTTCACTTCATCTTGAATGTCCTAGAACGCTGGTCGAGTCGATTCTTCCTGGAGTCTTGAGGTAACCGGAATGGAGCGCTTCCAATTGTATTGCAGATGGCGACTTTTCCAGGACAAGTCCGGTAGCAATTTTTCCTACCGCGGAGGGATGAGAGGCTTGGTTGGCGCTGGGCGGAATCGAACTGGCAACATGCTCATGATGACCGACATCATTACCTCTGTGCTGTCCGCCCCATTCAATGCCTATCTAGCTTTCACAATGGCATGCGGTGACCTAACAAATGTTTCGAGTCAATGCTGCTGCCCTCCCAGACAACTCTGCCACCAATTCGCTATGCGCGGAGGGATGGAAGGCTCTATGAGAATAGGGCACCCTATCAAACCAAAAACTACTTGTGTATTGCAGAGTACCTCTAACTATAACGCTACACAAGAAATCCACCTTATTCATATAAAGCTCTCAGTTTTTTCTCTTCGTGGTTTCGGTTTTTTCAAGTACTTTCTTTAATTTTGACATTACTTACAATTCATTGTGTAAAATTCCATCTTCCTTGAGACGTCACGAGCTTCATAATACAACAGCAAAACATTTTTATTCTTCTAAATTTATGAAAGTGAACTCATCTGAGCAGTTCAGATGAGAAACGTTATTTTTGTGGCAGTTAGCATTCTACTATAGAAGGTCGAAAAATCGTCCTTCATGAAAGAGACTTCCGAATTCCGGCGAACAGATCGTCGTCGCTAAGGAATTCAGCGCGAGGCGACGAAAATTCACAACGTATTGTGAACTGTATGTCAGTGGTGCGACATCTGAAAATATTTGTAACGTTTCGAGAGTTTTTCGTATCTTACATGATTATGTTTTCTAGCAACTTTGTATTTGCATTTGGAATTTGTTTTCTGTTTTAAAATACTTGTTATGTGCTGCAAGGCGATGCTATTGCAGTGGTAATGATGCTGTTCAATACGCGCAAGGTCTTCATGCTATTCCTCTTTGGGTCAGCGAAGTCTACCAGGAGGTCACAGTGTTTTGCAATCCGCTCCTTACAATCCACGATACTAGCTGACGCCTGTGATGAAGATCTGGGATGACTGTAGCTGGTTATTTCAGGAGTACAGCGAGAATGAAAGCTAGGAAGATCGACTTGACCGGCAATCAATGGCATTCGTGAAGAAGACGAAAAACTCCTGAAACGTGAACCGAATGCACACACAAAATCCTAGGAGCGTTGTAGAACACAACGGCGAGAAAGCAAATCGAGTGCAAGAAATGTTGATATTGGCACAAGATGTCGAATCGTATAGAGAAAGCACGGTCTGGAAAAGTCTGAATTACATGAACCTCTCCTGCATTTGAGCTCAACAAGAATAAAAGATAATAGTTCTCCAAACCGATCTTGCATTAACAATTTTGTCGATCAAAGAAATATTATTTTCACACGAAGTTGTTACACTTCGGCGAATTTCTCCTACATCACAGCTGATTTTTCTATTCTCTAGTACTAAGTTAAACCACATACGACTTCGGAGGAATAGAAAATGACACGTTAAAGACAATGACCATAATGTTACTCTGCTCTATTCATTCTTTTCGCAATATTCGTAATCTATCTCTGACTTCGCTGCAATAACGAATATTAATCATTGCCAACAATCTTATCACAGACGCAAGAAGCACAGTGGTCAGAGGCATCCCGCAATACCCATGGGATCGATCCCTCGTTCCAGGCTCAACAAGTCCTCCATCCCTTCGGGATGGGCAAATTGGTGCCAGGCTTGTCTACGAAGATATCAGCACTTACTTGATAGGCCACCGCAAGTCATTGTATAGGCTAGACATGTATTCAATCACCTGTACCAATGATTAATGAAACCGAATACATGGCGCACCCTCCAGGGACTGATCGATGTCGACACCTTTATCCTTTTTTTTATCCTCTGCGAACAATCTTATCAGAGGCCCGGGAGAACAGTGGTTAAAGGTGTCGTGCAGTATGGTCACTAGTTCGACAACTCACTCAAGGTAACCAGGCAAATAAATTCCATCCACTCTTAAAAGACAAGAAGCAAGGACCACCGAAAACCAGAACACCATTCTCATTCACGAAGACATTTCGTTTTCCATTCCCAAACGAGAAAATTGATAAAACAAACTTTCCGTCTCTCCACATGAAGAAATTCTCTCCTCGTCGTTCAATTCGATACGTGTAGTGTGAGAAACATGTCCTAAAAAATGGAATAGTAGCCTGAGTAGTGCTTTATAGTGAAAAAATCATCTTGGCGTCACAACAACAAGAACACCAGAAGTGTGTGTTAGACCTTTTAAATTCTTTATTAAGATTATTTTCATACATAATATTACTTGTGATTTTGTGGAAATCTTGTGATGCGATAAGCAGTAGTCGCTCCGGGGCATAGAATATTGCAATAGTGACGTGGTTGGCCATTCATTGTCTCCTATGGAAGTAAAAGAAACGACCATAAAAGAAATATGGCAGAACTCTTAATGAAAATCGTTGTTTTGAAGAGAAGTGCACTTTTTAGTGAATATTCATTAAGAAAGTGTTCGCCCTTAGGAAATAAGAAGGAAAAGTTTCATCGATTTGTAGAAAGGAACTGAACATCTCTAAAAATCCTACATTCTAGGTAAAATGCAGCTGTTTTCACCAAGTAAAACAATTGTAGTGAAACTGTTACGAAACTTATTTAGTTACGAATAGTTTCGAATAATCGGCGTTCTTACGTCAAAGCACACATCTAATGGGACTATTCGAGCGTTCGGATCATCCTCCGTTTCCTTAAGCCGCAATTCGCACTTTGAAGCATCTTTCAAACTTTTATCGCCTTTCGATTTGCACACAAGTTCTCGCCATTCTAAATTGAACCTATACACATTGCGAAATACTGTAATGTAAAGTTGATAATAGCCATTAATTTCGTTGGAAACGCATTGTATTCAAGCACCGTCGAGAGCTATTTTTAACCAAGAAGAAAACCCAAATATAATCGAAGACAGTTTTCGCTTGATTGTTACAGAAGAGAACTAGTATAGAAGCGAAGATATAAATGACTACAGTAATGTCTTCAGAACAATGTTCTTTGTTTAGTAATAGGTTTGAATTTTCTTGCTGACAAGTATATGCGAAATTTCTTAGCATTTCCGTTAAAAACTGCCCTAGATGGAACAGAAATTATGGCTTAATCCTAAATAAATTAGAACTTGCAAGGAAGAACTTAAATGACAAGTACACTAAAGGTATTAGAACTTACGCCAATGTACGCTTTCAGCAATAATAGTTGTGAGAAAAGAAGTCAATATACAGTAGTAAGCTACACTAAGCATCAATTATGTAGTGTCGTGGATAGATGCGGATTTAAATAGTGATTTAATCATGTGATGGATAGGCCAACGGCCTTTATTGCTCCGGTTCTTGACTGGCCCGTCCATAAGCAGCAGGTTCGAGAAACGAGATATGCTTATGGACAACAGATCAAGCGGATGTACACTTGAATGCAAAAATCATGACAAACGATTAATATAGTCGATTTGTTTATTCTAGTTATAAAAGTTTCTTGAACGTTAAGAACTCTTTCAAGAGGACAACACAGACCTTTCATTACTACTGATTCACAGGAATGAAAATCGTACATAATGCCAGGTGTCTTCAATAACGGATGCCGCTGCTAGCAATTTAACATCCTTGACGGTTCGAAAAGTGGCAGAGCAGTGGGAACGTATTGGAATGATTATTTCTCCAGTCTCAAGCAGTATATCGTACCTGGTCATTCACAAAACACTCTAAGAGTAGGTGTCTTGTTAAGATATATACTGCTGCGCTGAGCTTGGTATGATTCGCAAATTTGATCATGGAAACACCCAGATATTTGTTTCGTTATCATTATATTTCCTAAAAAATCCTGCCTGCTGCCAGGTGGATTATCCGTTGAAAAGGAAATAGTTATCAACGAATAGTCATATCAACAACAGTCGCTCCATATAAAAGAGCACTGCCGGTGAGCATGTCTCATTTGTGCGGTGTTGACGACGAAGACGAAGTGCGTGTGAAGACGCCACATCAAGATGACGAACAACTGTGAACCACCGACTCGGATCATCGGCTGTGATGAGAACGAAGTAGTCGAAACGTCAGCCGAATAAACCTTGTTTCTAACCTCGTGCAAGCTCAATAGTTTAAACACATCACCGGCAGTTAACGGAAAACGGTGATACGTGGCTAAGGTATTTCCTCGTACTTCACTAATCCAAACAGGTAAGTGAACAAATATCTTCAAATGGCATGATTAGCCAGAGATGAATTAAATACGGCAGAACGGTACTAAAGGCATTTCCAGTGATACTCCAACGAGAGGTAGCACAATACGAAGAAAACAGTATCGTAGCGTCGGAAGAATCTGTGGATTCAGAGTGACGCTTGGAGCAGCATGTTCTTCTTCCTATTCTGTACCAGTTTTTCGACGCTCTTGTACATTTCCCAAACTACTGGCTCCTCTGTGTTACTTAAACCCTTATTTTCCATTTGGTGCAAAGCATTAATGAGACGGAGATGGTTGAAGCATCGATGATTAACTTTCACTCTGATATTATCACACTTTATTCCACTTTCTACGTGACATTTTTCAGCACGGCACTGAGAAGTTTTAGTACGCATTGTAATCCCTCGTCAAGTCCGTTTTCATTTGAGGAGCAGGATAAAATTTTAGTAAAATCGATCAATGTACTTTTTTTCGTTAAGAAACTGACAAAGTGACTACAAAAATCTACTCGGCTAACCCGTCAGCATTTTCCTCTTCTTCAGACCCGAATTAATGCGTGTGCATTGCCCCCAGTCGTTCGTGCTTGTGATGTGGGTCTTCGTTATCTCAACTAGACGAAGACCAAGAAACATAAGATGAATAAATTTGTTTAAGCAACATCGTGTTAACTTGTCAATGAAAGAAAGCACATCGATTATCCATACTGAGGTTGGATGAAAATGGTTTTCCAATTTAGTTGCTTTATTGCTGTACAATTCACTAAGAATCTTTTTCTATTATTTAGAAATTTTTGAATCTCCCAAGGCTTTTATGGTCACTTTGGTGTCAAAAAAATCGAAGATATGCTTGAGCTCAACGAACACTGGAAATGATATCTGATTAATAATCCTTCAGTGCTTCAGTGAGTTTTGCAACGGTTTCGATTTAACCAAGGTATCGTACCAAACGATTTTCGACCCCATTGCTTGTTTGCATTGCCCTCAAAAGGCATTCAAAAAAAAGAATCAAGAAAAAAATCAAAATCAAAATCAAACCTGACTGAAATATTATACGAGTCTAATGGAATGAGAAACGTGAGACTAGAGACGAAAAGTCAATCACTGCTTTATGAATGCGTCGTTTTCTTGTTCAGCAATCGCGAGGTCGTTAAACAGCATGCATTTACTTCCATAGAAAAACAGTATAGAACAGAACAGTTGCTGACATTTCGGCAGTATCGCCTTCTTCAGAGCCGCTTTTTACGTGACTTCCAATGAGGACGATTAGAATCAGGCGTTGTATTGTATTGTGTTTTTCTATGGAAGTAAATATATGCTGTTTAAAAAACCTCGCGATTGCTGAGAGAGAAAATGACACATTCATATTCCAATGCCGAGGTTAAGAAAAAGTCGATCCTGGGAACTACTATTTTATATTCGTAGCATTCCTGTGTACGGTGAATGAAATACTAGGCATCTGAACCACATTTCTTCGGCCAACGTTCTATTACTTCGTCGACCACGCATGGATAAGAAATGCAGATTGTGCAGATTGTTTTATGGCACAAGACTGTGCCATGAACCTTCAAAAACCCAACTAATGCTTTGCGTGAGAATATATTACTAAAAGGATGGTAGAGCTACGAAAAAAATGAGTAATGTTTATACAAGATCTCTTGTTTGTACGCATTCGAACAATTGCCAACTTAACCAGAGATGTTATTCATTCCAGGAAAGAAGAGTCTGATAACGACTGGGCGGTTCTGGATTTCACTTCATAAAACCAGTCAAACTGAAAGTAACCAAAACATTATGATTTTTCGATATCGTTCATCTATAACGATAACACAATGGAGTCATTCATTGTAGATCAGTTCAACCATCCGGTTTTATAGATTCATAAGCTTCAATACATCATACTCTTGGAAACAAGAAGGTTCACATCAAATAGAACTTCTGGGTACAATACTTACATAGCTTAGTTAGTAGCTCATGTTCATTTTTCAGAGTCTCTGTATTAAAAGTAGACAAATGAATCTTCTGTTTCGTCTCTTTGTGGCGATTCTCTGCCCGGTAAGTCACCCTTAACCTTTGCACATCGATGCTTAGACAAATTCATCTCCAACAAAAAATGTTCGAATAACCTGCTTGAACTCTGACAAACGGCTGTTGCCGTATAAATCTAAACTGTTAACTCTGTTTAAATTCAATATCCATGCAAATTGAAGGAGTGGATGTCGGCGAATGTGACATAAAAAATAACTTTTCTAAGAAGTAGAACAGGCCATACGGCACCTAAGCAGTCAAATTCTATCACATGTTCGACTAGTTAATAGAAGCATTATATTCGCGCGGAATAACTTTGAAATCTCATTTGAAAACTTTGAAAACAATTATAATTCGTAGTGCTGAACGCGTTACTACCAGGAAAGGGCAATAGCGTGTTCGTTCCCCACCGTAGACACCTGTGGCCCAGAGTTTTGCAAATATCTCAGCAACTTTGAAAACATATAGCGCAGTGATGAGAGATACCTCTAATACACAACTGGCCGTTGGTCCCACCACATATCCAGGACAAAGCAAGCCATCCATCCCTCTGGATCGGCAAATTAGTACCAGAATAAGAACCACAACGACGCTAAGATATTTGCAAAACTTGGACTCCGGGCCAGGTCTGATTACGATTACCCTTTTCGGGAGCTCGCGTATTACACACTGCGCCACGGATGCCTTGCTCTGCCTTTCTCTTGGCAAGTTTTCTACCTAACGCTGCTACTAGCAACCACCCATTAGCGGGATTGATCTCGCGAGCACAAATAGGCATTGTACCTAGTCAAGCTGAGGCCAATCACAACGTTAACCTCTTACTTTCTGATTACTATAATTTTTCACAGGAGAGTATGTGTGAAATGGCGTGGCGCACTTTGTAAAGCGCGAGTCCTCGGAAAGTGAAATCGTGGTTCGATGTGGTCAGGAGTCCAAGTTTTGCGAATATCTCAGCATCATTGTGGTTGTAATTTACATCGTACCGTACCGTGAAAAATTAAAGTAGGCAGAAAATAAAAGGTTAACGTTGTTACCTGAATAGTCTGACAGGATTAAAAAAGCAATTTGATAGATCGTTAATTCTCTTCAAGTCATTCTGTACTGTTACTGTGCCGCCATTCACCTTTACGATGCACAGTGTATCTCTTAAAGACTGATTAACCCCGAACAATTCGTCCTTTTCTTTCATGGTACAACCTCCATCAGTAATCTCGATTTATAGGAACTGCTCAAACATCCATCAATCACTTGGGAGACTTCAGTAGACTCCAAAGATTATGATTCTATTCGCACTTGCTTGTGGTTCAACTATCAACCGCCACCTATAACCTCATTAATCGTCAAGTAACTTCGGAAAGACGAGGAAGTGGCATTTGTCCATGTCCCGCCACAGTGTTACTCAGTGGTTTCATATAGTCCGAGGAATAAGAACTGCATCGCGCTTTCGTTATTACACTCATGCCTTTTACGATAACTTACACGAAGATAGTCATAGTTATCTCACCGTCCTTCCACATTATTAAAGTTTACTCCTAACCTGTCTTCCTAGGAAGAAATGTCCTTCACCGTTTAGATGAGTTTCTCTCAGCACGTAGAGATGAATGAATCCATATTTCTCGCATGCAATCATCTATGAGGATCTACCGATGTGTAAAGCCAGTGCTTTTACACTTTCAGACTAATCTAGTAGCAACTGCTGATCACGAAAGGAGGGATAACTTATTTAACTTATGGCACGGCATCGAACCAACGACCACGTTTGTATTGCAGGGCATATTTAACCGTTAAGCTACACGCACCTCTCAGCATTACCATATTATCACAGCGATTATGCCACACTAATATCATCTCTATTTAGCCCCTTATTGTCTACATAGACTACGGTTTCTGCTATCATTTACTTTTTAATGTTTTTCTCACAAGCTTCGTATGGTTGATGGGTATTGCACATGCTTGGACATTAGCCATTATATCTTCACTATTTTCATTCAAAGAACGAATTACACACTTCATAACTTCTTCACGAAATCAATGTGAGTTTCAATGATATTCTGGAATAAATAATCCGCTAAAATTACAATAAATAAATTCAACAGAAAATAAAGGTTTATGTTCAGATGGTGCAAGCGAAGACATGGGCGTGCATTCTCTAGATCAGCAATGATAGATCCGCAACTCATCTGGGTACCAAAACCAAGCTCACTATAGATAATCAACACTAAATCGATCCGCACTGAAATCAATAACATGAAATAAACTTGAGCGACTAGTTGATTTTGTGTTCGAGAATTACTAATGAATTTGAAAAATCCTATAAGTTGGACGAGTAAAACACGAAGGAAAGAAGGATAACAGAAAATCGAACAAGAAATAGAAGTATCTTACTACATTGACAAGATAACACTAAATTGTTACAAAAACCACTGATAGCTGTTATATGGCTGCAGACGACCAACTCAAATCATTAAGGTTCCGATGTAGTGGCGGTGAGATCCCAACTTTATATGAATACTAAGTCGTTGTAGATATTAGTCCTTGTAGCTGCCACGTGGGATTTTTTCCGTAACTGTCGTGAACAACCTCGAGTTTGGGTTACAATAGTTTATAGCAATAACATCTGTATGATAGTAATATCTGGTATTTGGCGATATGTGGTTAATTGGGTATATACAAGCGAGATTGAAATGAGAACAAGCGATGCAGTTGAATGAAGTTAGGTGGACACTGGAGTTGGAGCACTGAGGAACTGAGAGATTGCATGAAGACCGAACGAACGCTACGAATGCCTGCATATGAATGCCCGTGGGCTGCTAGTATTTCTTCTGTAGTGGGTGGACCCTTGCCAGAGGGAACTAAAGACAGAACCTAGAGAGAGGTTCTAAAGGTTTCTTCTACTAGCACAATCTGATAGGGCTACATGTGAAAAGGCGCAGCTGCTTGTTCGGAAACTTCTTTGGGACGGCAGATTCTGGAAATTACATTCAGCTGGCTGTGCTGATTCAGTGCCCGAACCGCCGGACAAAGAGCAGTTTATTGAAGGAAGTTGTAGGATCCCTTTCCAGCCACTTGTGAAGCAACTGCATGAGATAGTGGCTAAGACACAAGAGAAGATGCGAAGATAGATTTAAGACAGTTACAGGTGAACAAGAAACACCAATACGAAAAATTATGAATAAGGTCACCGGAAGCACTATTTGAAATGTTTTACATAGAGAACATTCTAAGGTTCGTGAAGAATGTTCTGTATATCCGAAGAAGGCAAAGGTGGCGAAACATTAACCATAGTAAAGAGTTGTTTTCATAACAACCACCTGTTTATAAGGTACTGACTATTCACATCGAGGCTAATGAAAGTCAATTTTTAAGGAGTAGAAATGTTCTAGAGATTCATCATTCACATGCGAATAATCACTAGTTATATTCAAACGCCTGTTCAGAAAAGCATCGATTTTTAAGCACAATCTCCAAGTTCATATATCTGAAAGGAGAGTAGGTCTCACCAACTAGACTACTTGAGTAGGAGTACTTGCGTTTAACATTAAAATCCCCACCTTTCGAAAGCAGCCTTCAGATGCTGACCATAAAGAATATTTCTTATCACTTTGCGTTAAATCAGTATCAGGAAGCTTTTTGCTTCCTTTTTTATACATATGAAAGTCCAATTCGTTGAATACTGTGGTCCACTCACTAAATGAATGTAAACCGAATACTGTACTTGTCATCGGAAGTTGGGATCTTTCGTACTCAAAAGAATGTTGTCTACAACTTTTGAAACTCGGAGAAACAACAAGGGCAAAAGTCAGTGAGATGGGTTAGACAGGGTGCATTCAGAAAATGTGCACAATTCTTTTGCCTATCAACCTAATGGGAAGGATTGTAATCTACATATATTTGACAATTAGATGCAACCTTTGTTAATCCATCACGATGAACTTCTGGAATTCTACTGCCAACAAATCTTTTGGAGGTATTTGGTTACTTGCTAACGATTTGCTTAGGAAATAACTGTTAGCATGTTTCAAAAAATCGGTACTCGGCTACTGCTAAACCTTTCCAGAAACATATGTGGATCGTTCCGATTGACCATTCTACTTCAACACATACAGGCTACACCATGTTACGTCTGTTACATCATATCTGTAACGTTGTCCTCAACCGGCCAATAAAGTGATCGCATGAATCGCCTGGATTATACTAGAAGAACCATGGTCAAAGGCAACAAAACTTTCTCCTATCCCAAAAGAGACAGTGAGTGCTTGTCAGAATCGACCGACCACTTCCATGGATGACGGATGGCACACAGCGAACAGAAGTGATAGAGTCCGTACGACATTACTGGTCAACAAAAATTGTCGACCAAAGATTTGTTAGTAAACAACATGGTGGTGATTCCTGACATCTATTTACTCTCACCTAGACTTCGGGATGCAGATCGGCAACTCGTTCTTAGGATACACTGCAATAGGACAACCAACCGCTGGTAAATCGTTGCTCAACATCTAGAAACACTCTCTAGCCACAAATTGGCAAAGAAGCAAACAGGCGAGCTTGGAGATAACTTCGGAATTCGAAAATGGATTTTAACGAAAAAATTTTCAGCTTCGTGCAATTAATAGAATACGCCGTTATGAGAAATAATTCTCGACCAAAACGCTCTAATTCGGTGTCTACTCAAACCAGAGTTCGATCGTTGGTCCTAGGAGTCATTCTGGCGGATTGTATCATCTTTTTTTTTATTGTCTCCGTGGCATCTCTTGCTTTCTGAAACAAGTAAACAGGACTAAATGGCCCCACGTTCATCATAGTGTTGTATAGAAACGATTTATGGCACCCTTTGGCAAGCGCGCTATGTAGATTCATGTGATAATATCGTTACTTCAAACTCAACTCACAATTCGTACAAAGATCTCATGATCGTTGTACAAATCAAATCTCCAAATCCACATGTAATGATTCTTTGCGTTCATACAAAGAGCACCGATGGCATCGGTCTAGTCCAAATAAACAGAGTTACGGACTTTACAGGTAACCATTTACGGGACATAAAATTAGCACATTTCCGAAACAAGTAAAATATGAGTCAAACATTTCTTCAAAGCATTTCACAATTGCTTGACGTCGTCAAACTGTTTCCTGGCTTTTTTCAGTTCCTCGCTCATTGACAATAAGTCCTAAAAAACTATTATAAATGATAATTAAAAACAACAAAGTTAGTTAGAAGATATTGAGTCTCGAACATACTTTCACCCTTGCAAACTTTTTCGGATCCCGTCGAATAAGGTAATGAATATCTTCAAGCGCGATTCTGTCTGGCTTGCCTACCTAAATTTTTCCTTGAAGAACCTTTACTAAACAATTTGCTACAGAAAAGTTTCTGTTAGTCCATAGCTGAACATCAATACTTTCGAAAAAACGAGATTTTCTCTTCGCAGAACGAGTCATAATAAACCCGGTTCCTATTTGTTGCATTTGGTCCATATCTCAGACCTCTAATTATTGGACTAATTAGCATTGTTCACTACTTGAGACATTCGAAGTTCAATTTTTGACTAGTACTCAGTGTTTTATCACTTTCAGTCGTTGTGTTCGGCCATGGTTGCTATAAAGTGGGCATATATAAAAGTATAAAAATGACGAAATGCAAGTTGATAAACACTTCCAAACACTGACAGTAATATGGTTGGATGGTGTATAATAGCAAAATATAATAAACAGTAAAATACCTACTTCGGCAAAGTGAAGCCTTTTCCGTAACACTGTCATGTTCTCAAGTTCTCTATATATCCAAAAATTTCCGTTTGTTTTAGGAAAACCAACATTACTTGTTATTTGGGGTCCTAATGCAATCGAACTGCATTGTTTGTGCATCTCACATGAAATTGAGGGGCCACAGTAAACCAGATTTGAAGGGCCACTGTTATGTGTTAACGACAGGATCATTTGTAGCTTTGGTGAGATTCAATTTCTTCTGCTTTGAAGCAAGAAACAAGTATATTTTTATATACAAACAACTGGAATCTGGGTTATAAAGAGAAGCAGCAGATATGGACTCTAGACAGCTCTGTGGATTGTGGAAGAGACGAAAATATTCATATCGCTCTGTCTTAAAGTGGAAAATATTGAGCTGACACCGTTGAGATAAGTTCAAGTTGCAACGTTAAGACAAATCAAGCCATTAGGCTCCAGGGTATGGCAACAGACGAGTTTTGAAAGTTACCAGACCACATCCATTTGGTATAAACGGAATGTGTAGTAGAAAAATATGTTCGCTGGATCAAGCTTTCGAAGTTATCAACGAAAATTTCGATGGTTTTACAAGGCCAGCAAGAGCACCGATATTAATGGAAAATGTCTCAGCATCATTGAAGTTATACTTTGCAATATACCCTGCCATTAAAAAGAAAAGGCACTAAATAAAACGGTTAAGATTGTGCACAGGAGATAAGTATACAAATAAAAGAATGGTGCAAACCGGTAAGGACGTTTGTAGGAAGAGAAGTGTGGATGAAATGTTGGCCTAATAGATGGTTTCTCAGGTGAAGGAAGACACATAATACCCACAACTGGCATTGATGCCTACCGTCACCTGAAAGATTTCTCGCAAGAAACATTCATCTGGTCGGAAGGGTTATCTTGGCCAACACTTACAACAAAGGAAAGCGCATTCCAAATAGATCACTAAGAAGAAGCTGAAAAGAGGAAAACTGGAAATGAAAAGTGATAAAAGCGGGGTAATGATGCAAAAGTGGAAGGATAAGGGGGGAACAATTGTTATGCCCACAGTGAGTGAAACAACTGCTTTTACTAACATATGAGGACCACAATTTGTCGAACGCTATAATACGAAAAGATGTCGGTGGACATATTCGGCCATGTGTTGTTCTAGACATAATAAATCAGGAAAATAAAAAACAATAAGTGATTTCGTATGATATGGTGCTAAAAAACGTGATGCAGAGTCCAACCAGCTTGAATGAAATGAGAGAGAGAGAGAGAGAGAGAGAGAGAGAGAGAGAGAGAGCCTAGAAGAATCCAGTAAGATGTTATGACTCTAAATCTGCAGGCATAAGTAGTTGCTTAGCAAGTGAGACCCACATGAAGACAATGTAGGAAACGTATGTGCTAAAATTGTTCCAACAGCATCCACAACGGTGCATATGGTAAAAGTTGAGGATTATGACAAATGTGGAATCTAATTTGAAACTTTGAAATTTAAGGCTCAGATTGCAGGACAACCTTTGAGCACGTTTAGAACATTAGTGGAAGATTTTGAGATAAAAAGTTGAAAACCTGCAGTCTCTTCAAAGAAGGTTAATGTTTGCCATCAAAATGATGAAGACAAAATTGGCAAATACAATCAATATCCAATAACACGGCTAACAGAAAAGGGAAACGAAGGACTCGCATGGTGTGGTGGTAAACGCGTTAGCCCCCCGGAAAGGACAATAGTGCGTTCGTTCCTCACCGCAGACACCCGCGGTCTGCAGCTTTGCAAATGTCTCAGCTTCATTGTGGGTTATACTTCGCATAATACCCTACCAATAAAAGAAAGAATAGGCAAATAAAAAGTACCACAATCAATAGTTTTTGTGACGTATTTACACTGTAATAACAACAATAGAAGTCCCTATGAGGACTTATATTATCGTGGCAAAAAAGTATTTAGAGGTAGAAGCTGTGCACACCACTGAAATAAAGAGATCTTAGTATTCGAACCTGTACATTAACTAGCAAACCTTTGTGACAAATCACTAGCAACAACACCTCGACAATCTCACGTTAATGGGACTCAATAACACAAACTTACCCGAAAAATAATTTGCTCAACAAAAATACGAAGAATTACTTGACCAATGCCGAGGTTAATAGAAAGTCGGTTGTGGGAGTTACTGCAAGATGTACCAGCAAGATACTTCCGACTTGTAAAAGAAGCGCTGTCACTGAGACAAAAGATCGTCTTAGCTCGACAGTCAATACACTTTCTCCGCCGCTGTCTAAAACATCGAGTCGTTCCGAACTTCATCAAACGAAGACAACTACACGACGTATGCGGACTACCAGAGGAAGTCACCGAGTATTGGACATCGAATTGCGAATACTACGCACCTGTCTACGAAGCCGACAAAACCAGATGTTCGCCAAATGGGAGAAGTGCGAGACGAAGGAAAACTTTTGTGCTCATTTGGAGGACCGCCTCTGGAGGAGAATAGTGGGCAGGCTCTGAGGAAGGCGAAATCCGCCGAAACGTCGGCTTATTCGTGAATAAAGAATAATAACACCTCGCGTTTGCTCAACAAAAATACGAAGAGCTAATCACACTGCCCAAAATGTGTTGAATTGAAATGTTTACATAACGAATTAAACGACTAACGTTCATGGCACGCTCGCACAGTTCCTTTATATAATCGAGAACAATTGCCTCCAAAGTCTCGAGTGTTTTGTCATACGGTACCTGAAGTACCAAAAGTACCCAACTTTTCACATTTCTAGTAGACCTTTAGATCTCTAGTACTGAAAATGGCACCACTCACCTTGTCATCACCGAAGCCGTATAACATAGAACGGAGTTCCTTTCGAAAGAAAAACTTCTTATCTTCCGGACTTCCTTTATCTCTCTTATCATCATCATCTAAATCCGACCCGAAGAGATCGTCATCTTCATCCATATTTTGTCAACAGGAAGAAACTTATACCTCAAAAGAAAACGCTTGGGACAACTTCCACAGGAACTAATGGTATGTTAATATCAGGAACAGTAAAACATAACAACAAGCATTGTGAAATATCTAAAGAATTCTTATCGGCATCATGTTTGCGGTAAAACGGTTTCATACCTTCAACTATCACTACAGAAAGAAATATGCACTTTCAAAATAGACCCTTAAAATGATCGGAATCCCTTTCCTTACTCTTATCTAATTCTTTCAATGAAAAACTAAACACATAGCTATAATAATGCTGCGATATTTGCAAAACTCCGGAGCGGAAGTGTCTAAGGTGGGGTACGAACGCGCTATCACTCTTTCCGTGGATAACGCGTTCACCAACACACCATGTGAGTCCTCGGTTTCGCTCAGTCGTGCTGTTGATTATTAAACATATAATAGTGTTGCTATCATTGAGGATTAAATAGAAGTGAAGTACAGTGAAATATACGGCACTAACCGAACCAAGCGCGTGAAGAGTCATAAAATTACGATAGAACATTTATAACCATTCGTTACAAAAAATAGAAACAAGTGTACATGTTAATCTATTCGTTGCCGAACACTCTTTGCAGCTGACCGTTTTTTAAACTCAATCGGACCCTTGACCTAAACGAAAATAGTGAATTAAGCAGGCCATATAAAACATCGTAAACCAAAGTGGGAGGCTTAGTGCACCTTTTTAGTTAGAACAGCTCCTGTTTTCTCAGTAAACTCCAAGCTTGGTTCGTCTTTTGTAGCTAATTTTTCTTTTTCCTCGAGTAACTTTCGTTCACGCTCCTCCTCTGCGCGATATTTTGCCGTTAAAGGAGAGAACTTCTGTTGGCTAAAAACAACTTTTGCCTTCGTTATATGAAAATTCAGCTGTACTAAGAACTAAAACATACATGAAATACGAAAAATATATTGCATAGGAACGTGGTACCGAAATGTGTAACAGTGTCAAGAAATTCAACTAGTTATACAAATTAAGCCTACCTATCCTCTTTTGTCACCCGTTGCCAAGAACCATAAGGACCATGTGGGGGTGCGGGACTTTCTTCGTCCTGCTCATCCATGTGTGGTTGACTAGTATCAACAGCAGGTTGGCATTCATGTGTGATAGTAGGCTAAAAAAAGACGTTGTACTCAGTGTACATTCCTTATCACAGCAAATTGACGAGAACGATATGAGTATTACAAACCGTCGAAACAGGTACTAAATTAGATTCAATTGCTGATTCCACAGGTTCTTTTTTAACAGGCACATCTGTAATACTTGATCCTGAAAAAAAATATCTGGTCTCCAATGATAACCGGACTCATAATGAAAGAAACGACTCTGAAGAAGGAGAAACCACCCAAACGCTAGTTAGTATTGTACTGAATAAAACTTGTTGTTAACACCCTCATCTGTACCCATGTGTACTCATGAAGAAAACAAAGAACTATTTGAAAAACAGTTCACTTATGAATAGGAATAGAATGAAGTACTGAGCACGTAAGGCCCATGAAGGAATGAATTACCACTATAACATTTCTAAAACATCACATCGAAATTGACAGCTCTTGATAGCGTAGATGCTCAACAAACCAACTTTTATCGACTTTTCTGCAAGGGCACAGGATCAAAACCATCCAAACACCTCTCACCAGGTCCAGGAAGTGGTATGTCGCCAACAGCAAGGTCACTGGCTGTTTCCACATCATCGGGTTCAGTCTTGACTTCCGACTCACCGTCTTCCTTTACTTGTGATACCACACGAGTTTCCTCATCGTTGGAATCTTTTGTGCCCGCTGACGGTTGCTCTTTAAAAACTAACAATATAAACGAAAACATATGGCAGAGAAATGGTGACTGTTAGAATGAGGATATGATCGTTTAAAAAATCAAAGAAATGTGGGCTTCGAGAATATATAACTTTAAATCAAGAATTTTGAAGGCGCTCCCAAGAGTGATGATTGTGGACGTTAAGATAACGATTACACGGAAAAACTTGTTAGTTCGAAAGTATTTAAGTAATCAAACAATTAACGAAGAAAACATCACGTGGAAGTCAGCAAAATGTGAGATGGAATCCGTCAAAAAAAAATAGAGATAATTTGCGCGAACCTTGTTTTACTGTTTCGTTGTCCATGGTCGATTTCGGGAGTTCGCCATCGAGGAAACGTCTCTTATATTCTTCAGCAGTGTAAAATGATTTTGGCTTCTCCCATTGCGAAACTAAAAAAGAAATTTGAAAAATCGGAAAAATATGTGAACCATTGAAAATGGTACCAAGATTCACCTCCAGTATACATATGGTAGTAATAAGTTCTTCCATCACCGCCATCGGCCTCTACCCATACCGTTTCATCACATAATGGAAGAATCCCAGCCTCTTGCTTGACTACTCCAACATTCGACTCTAAGCAAAATCTTTATTGTAAGGTGCAAAACCATAGTATTAAATTAGAATAATACCCAAATATTCAACAGGAACTGGTAATTCTCGCTTGAAGTATTTTGGTGTACTACATGGCACAGTTAGTGGAACCTAAAAGTGTCACACTTATTTCTCTTGTCTCTTAAAACAATTTTGTACGAGTTAATAATGTCTCACCCTTTTCTGTGCTTTTACTTCCTGCATTTCACTCTTACGCTTTGCCATTTCACGAGCCATTGATCCGATATCCTTGAGTTGCCTAGGGTCGAAAATCTTTGATGCCAATCCCGTCGCTTAAACAAAGACTACTTATAATCAGATGTTGAGTCAGCCTATGGCAAAACAAGTAAAGAACCACTTACGGCAGGGTATTCAGCGAAATGCAACCACAACGTTGCTGAGATATTTGCAAAACTCCAGACCACAGGTGTCTGCGGTGGAGAACGAACGCGATGTTGTCCTTTCCGGGAAGTAACGCGTTTACCACCACACCATGCGGGCCCTTCGTTTCGCCTGTGTCTCAGATAGCTCTATCGATTTGTGCCATCAGCAATCACCCGTCAACGGAATTGATCTGAGGAGCCCACATCGGCACTGAATCCAGTTAATCTGAGGCTGTAGTTGGAATCGCAATGTTTTACTTCTTATTTTCTGCCTACTAAAAATTTTATGGCGGGGTATTATACTGAGAGACAGGCGATGCGAAGGACCCGCATGGTGTGGTCGTGAACGCGTTACTCCCCGGAAAGGACAATAGCGCGTTCGTTCCCCACTGCAGACACCTGCGGTCCGAAGTTTTGCAAACAATTAGAACTTTTACCTAAATGAATCCATGAATATCAGAAAAACCAGAACTTACAAGGAAGTGATGGCCCGTGTTCCACTCCTTCGCCATTTTCACGCATCGCTTTAAGGGCGGCTGCTTCCATGGCAGCAAGAGCAGTGCTCATTTGCGCTTTCTAAAGATATACGATCAAAAAATAGACTAAGCTAGAGGAGATGATAACACGATATGGTAAAATACACCTGAAGAGCTGCATATCGAATTTCTGGTACGACAGAAAATTTCTAAAATGAAAGGCCACTTAGGGAAACTAACCGCTTTCTCCTTCTCTCGGCTAGCTCGACTAAGCTCTCGAAGCTTTGCAGCCAGTGCTTCCTTGTGTTTTTTTCCGCGCTCATGAAATTCGATAGAGGCACGGTTATCTCCAAACCATACCTGAAGTCATTACCATGTGCATATATTCCTACAATGTTAGCAGCACTGGAAACCTCACACCACCTTAAAGTAGAGGTTACCATTAGAACGTAACAATCTCATATAACGGCTCTATGCTCCAAAGCTGAAGCCGTCAGTGCAGATTTGATCCGTAAGAGCAATGTGTCCACACCCACGCTCACAATTTCATTACTAAGTCCTGCAGATATCACCGAAATGGAGAAACCTTTCCACTCTTCTATCAAGAGGCATTAAGTCCAAGTAATAAACAAAATCGCAAGCAGTAACCATGTTTACCATTTTTCGGTCTGGACGAATAAGCGCTTCTGACAATTACAAAACCCAGCTAATCTTGAAAAGGCACTTGCTGCGTACGTAGCACTGCAGTTTACAAAGTATCCGCAAAAAAAAGATATCGAAAAAAGAAAAGAAAAAAAAAGAAGCATCACAAAGATATTCACGTTTCTTTGGCACCCATATTTCAGATATACCTCTCGCATTATAATTATACACAGCCAGTTTTATTCGGTCTCATTAGCCTGAGCATCTATACACTTATTGCAAAAGTACTAGCTTCGGTGTATATCCTTTAACAGTCACGAGGCGTCAGGACCACATAAGGTGAACTGCACAGCGACAGCCAAAACAGATTCTCCTATCGTTGTGACCCTAAAGGGCCAAAAAGAATTCCATCAAAATGAAGACGGAAATTCTTGTTTGAACAAACAACTAGGCCGTTTACTAACTGCAAAGCTACTATTTCCTACGAGTTGTCACTCCACATAGAAAACTATTTTCGCTAATCGCAATGTTAGTCTTTTATTTTCTGATGACTGTAATATTTCACGGCAGAGTATGATGTGAATTACAACCACAACGATACTGAGATATTCGCAAAACTTGGACCCCAAGCCAAATTGAACCATGATTTTCCTTTCCGGGGGTTCGCGCATTACGCACTGCGTCACGAAGGCCCTAGCTCCGGGTTTCCCTTAGCTCCTTTCTACCTAACGCTGCCATCATCAATCACCCGCTAGCGGGATTGATCTGGAAAGCACAAATCGGCGTTGGTCCCACTTAAGCTGAGGCTGTAGTCGAAATCACGGAGTTAGCCTTTTATTTGCTGCCTACTACAATTTCCCCAAAAATTGTAAAAATAATGAAGGGTTAAAATTGTGATTCTGAGTACAGCCTCAGCTCTACTGGGTTCAATGCCATGCCGATTTGTGCACCCCAGATCAATCCCGCTAGCGGGTGATTGCTGATGGCAGCGCTAAGTATTTTTGCTGATAAGTTCTACAATGGACATTCAACTGGGATACCAGTTGTAATGGAGATAAACATTCTAAAATAACTGCTTTCATAGGTTTGACACCCCATAGATAACCTTGATAGAAAATATATCATTTAAAACAGAAACGGAAGAATTAAATATTGATTGCAGGCAGAAAAGTAAAAGTGAAAAACTAAAAGTGAAGTAAAGTAGTAAAGTAGAGCAGCAGTAAGTAGCAGTGTAGTAAAAAAAAGTAGCAGAGTAAAAAGTAGAAAAATAAAAATCGATATTTACTAAACGTTATGAAGTGACATGAGTGAACACTATATTATTCATGCATAAAGGAATATGGGAGTACTTTGAGACTCGCGCACCTTACAAATTTCGCAGAACTTTCGTCCCTGAGATTTCCAGACATCCGCCATAGTCTGTGACTAAAATAGCCCAGGTACTATATTTATCGTGAAGAACGTCCACCGTGTACTCCTAGAAATGATGTAAGACAAAATTTAGGCAAAATTAAGCGATTAAAACCAGTACATAGCAAAGTAGCAGAGACGAACACAGAAAAAGTGATAGCACCTTGAACTACAACCACAGAATAAAGTCACACATAAGCCCAACCTAAACGGGACGAACTCTACCATATCAGTGAAAAAAACAACTTTTAAAAGCTAAAGCCTAGCCTAAACGCCCTCAAATAGCTGGGTAAACCTATGCTTTAACTAAACGCCCTACCTGAATGAAGCAAACGCTACCACCTCAGTGAAACAAGTGGCCGGTATGATAGTTAAATACACATAAGTAGTCGTATTTGCGTATACTTCCAGCTAAATTACGGCATTCCCCGTATTGGTTCCAGTGGAAATCCAAGCCAAATCCAATGCGATCTGGACCGCCTTGAGGTATATGCATTATGTATAATTGTGATGAAATGTTTTATTCTTCCAAATTTGAATATATATATATATCTATATCCCTTATAGTGAACTTTATTGGTATTACAATTGAAAACCATCGGAATCTATGCGACTTTGATAAGGTATTAGTTTTCCTCTCTTACTAGTATGAAATTCTGGTTTTTCCTGCAACCTACGAATGGTCTGGTTCCTTATTTTTTTTGAGCGAAGGCGGATTTGATCATGTGAGATTACGGTCAGCATGACAATCTGGTACCTTTCAATATGTCGTTCTATCATCTATGTTTATTTAGCTTTAGGAAATACTGTTTTAACCTGTAGAACTCCCAGTCTTCCCTCCAGTTTTTTGGAAATTTGTGCTGCATAAATACTAAAATGGTAGTATTGTAAATTGGCTATCACTTAGTCTCGGTATAAATGAAGAATCTTCAATAGTGATGATGAATGATAGCATTTGTGACGGTAAATACTTACTTGGATATTCGGATGGCCCGTCTTCACAGCTTGTGCGGGCCCAGCATAACCTACATTTTTCGGAGTTTTGATACTTTAGTTATTGTGATTCCCTGAGGTCCCGAGGTCAGCTTGGCTAAAGTCTGCCCCAGGTCGTCGCCACCATGAGCAGTCGCCGCTCTTGTGGATCGTGGGAGATAGTGACGGTGGTTGATCCTGGTATTGTTTTACTCTTAGCTAGGCTTCCTGATGGAAACGCCGGACTACTTCTCAGCTTGGGAGACCCTGCCTGGCGGGCGAATCCTTCCGCAATACATCGTAGGCAGACACCCAGGAACACCTCCAAGCGCTAAGCCGTTGAGAGGTATGATAGTAAATAGGATAATAAAATAATGTTTTGCTAGAACTGTATGCATATGTATAAAATTACGCATATGTATATAAATACATGCCTAAAACGGAAGAATAAAGCGTCTATAAGTCGACCATACTCAAAGTACTCAAATTCGTTAGTTATCAGCGTCGTTGCGAATGTGCTGGATTTTTCCAGAATAGGGCGAATTAACTGCATTTTGATGATAGATTCTGTCAGGATGGCGTAGGACGGTTATTTTGAGGTCCTCTTTATTGCGCCGTTTCCTTATTATTTATTTGTACTTACTATTTACCTGTATTTACTTATTTAATTCTTTTAAGTTGTATTTATTTATTTATCTCTTTGAAAAGAATTGAGTAATGCTCCTTATAATGACGCAAGCATTTGTGCGGTAGTGCTAGTTTACAGTTTACAGGTCAACCATCTTACCTCGTGCCAGGACCTAGTTATAATTTTCGTGATAAAGGAGTGAGGAATGCAGACGTTTTAATAGACGAAATGTTCCGCTTTGTTAACTTCATTATTTACTGCTTATTATTATGTCTGGAAACTATTACGTAGAAGGCGCATGTAGCGCAGTGGTTGGAGGTAGCCTGCAATACACTTGCGTTCGATACCATGCCCCAGGCACGCCATGCCTTCCATCCCTCCAGGACCGGCAAATTAGTGCCAGACCTATCTGAATAACTAACTGCACTAACTCGATACATTATTAGCCACCGATTAGTCATTGAATATGCCAGATATGCGTTCAGTCACCTCCAACGATGCTTAGTGAAGTCGAATGCACGGCGCATCCCTCTGGGATTCATCAACGCCTACAGCTTTATCCATCGTGCTTTTTACTAGGTAGAAAACTGGCTGAGAGAAAGTCAAAGCATTGGCTTCTGTGGTGTAGTGGGTAACACGTGAGCACAAGGAGAAGATAATCGCGGTTCGATCTGGCCTGGGGTCCAAGTTTTGCAAATGTCTCAATATCATAGTGGTTCCATCCCGCTTCGTATTCAATCTAATAATACTCTTTTCTTTTGTTAAAGTTAACCTTTACAGTTACCATAATGACATCTCAGAATACGAGCATACCGTCGTTCACACAATCATTTTCTGCAGGTATCAAGCCGCAATATGTCCGGGTAAGTCTAGAGTGTATTAGCTTGAAGTACTATTTATATTATTTTAACCGAATACCATCTCTTAGATTGTTGGAGATTCTGTTGGAGTTGTTAATCTTACGCCTGCCGCTCTGCAGTGCCTTGCAGACAAGGTATTTTAGAATTGTTTCCGTTTTCCTACCCACTCCCTTTGTTTCCTCAGTTTCGATTCTTCACTAACACTAATAGTGTCTCGCATAGTTTAGAAGTATACTTTTTTCTATCTACCACTACCATCATGAAAGCGTTAGCCCCAGAAAGGGTAATAGCGTGTTCGGTCCTCACCGCAGACACCTGCAATCCGGAGTTTTACAAATATCTCAGCACCTTATGGTTCTACTTTTTAAAATTTGTTGTTTAAAGTGGATTTACATCCGTTTATTAGCTTTCTGGTTGTTTCTTTTTAAAGCTGACGGAAGTTATAACTCGTTGCGCAAAGACAGCACAGAAATTTGCTATTCATAGTCGGCGAAGAAGGGTACTTGTTGATGATGTGGGATCCGCTCTGAATATGTTGTTCATTCCGGTAATTTGAACGATTTCTTCGTTTTTTACTAATGAGTACACGTCATCCAGTAGTACTGTTCTCATTTCTAGATGCCTATAGGATCTCTGACCCGTCCCCAGCCTTCTATGCGACATTTGCGAATGCCAGGTGGAGAGCAACTGTATGTTAGGGAAGACGTAGATCTCGATGTTCCATCCCTTACCCAGCCTCCACAAATGCGAATTCCCCTGAAGCGTCATATTCGTGGTAAGACTTTTCCTAGACTTTCACTGTTTTTCATCTCTTCATTGACTATCACTGTTTCTCTTCCACTTGAAGGAAAGCAAGTTGAGCTTCCACTGCTTTGGCCATTTTAGTTACTCTACTTGCATTCCGGACTGTTCTATGAATTTATTATAGATCCTTACGCAACCTGTTTTAAATTTCTGCCACTTTCTATTCTAAACTGGCTTGCTTTATCGGAAAATACAAATCGTTTAGTTCACTGGATCCGGGCAGGTAATGATGAAGAGCCACAACCAGAGAAGAAAGTGAAAAAAGCGCTACAAGGAAGTGGAGCGAACTTTTCTGTTCTTCCGGCTGCACTAAGAAAGCGGTAACTAAATCATATTTTGTTATTTATCCCAAGTTTTCCGTTATGGCGAGATACTAGAGATCAAGAATGAGAAAGTGAAATGAAGAAAGTGAGCATCGAGGCGTTATTGTAGTTGAAAGAACGAGAAAATGAAAAGAAAAAGCGAGAAATAATCCACGTGACCTTGTAAGTGGATGCCTATTTTGGTTACGCAGATTTATGTGTTAAAATTTTGTTGGTGCAGGGTGCTTTTGCCAAACGAAATTCTTTCTCCATCACTTTCATTTCGTCTGGCCGCACAAGGATTACCAAAAAAGGAGCAGATTTTGGTTAAGCCATCGTTTTTGGAACCCTTATCAGTCGTAAGTATGATTAAAGTATTCGCTTTTGATTTTAATGTAGTCTTTGGTTCTTATATCCATGATTTATGTGGTTCATCATTGCCTCAATACCCATCCCACTTCAGGAACAACAGGTTTATCTCAAGGAAATTGTTGAGGCTTGTGTTGGTCAGGATGACAAAAAGCGTCAACAAGCACTTCAGTCTCTTGAACGTGATACAGGGATACAAGTACTGCTTCCACGATTGTCTCGCTTGATGTATACATCTGTACGTTTTCTCTGATCGGAAACTAAACAGTAAATGAATTCCATTTTCATATCGATTTCATAGTGTTTTCTTCCTAATGGTTTGCCACGTCTTCGTGGCTGGGAGGTGTTCCTGGGTGTCAGACTGCGATGTAAAGCGAGGAAATTCGTCCCACAGCAGACTCTTCCAAGCTGAGAATGATTCTGGCGTTTCAGTCAGGAAACCCAGTTGGGAATAAATCAATACCAGGATCCGTCACCGTCCTGATATCAAACTACTAACATGGTGGCAAATCTTCCTCGGATCCACACTACCTGTGGTGATGACGACCTCGGGCAGAGTTTGGCTAGGCTGACCTGGCGACTCAAAGGAGCTACAATGGTTAAACCAGCAAATAGCGTTTTAATTTTTCTTCCGGCCTTTAGACAGGAAGTGCAATTTAAAGTTCTTTCCATTTGAATGTATTGACTTCCAGATTCGATGCAATATCGTTCATCGCTGTTTGTCCATGTTAATTTACGTCGTACGAATGATGAGAGCGGTTGCCGCTAATAAATCAGTAAAATTGGATGGAGTAGTAAGTACACTGAATTCATTTCTTTTGTAACTTCATCCTTCTTACATCTGTGATCATATGGCTTGCTTTCTTTCACGTATATTGTGAGTTTTATAGCTTCATGAATTCTTGCCATCGCTGTTGAGTTGCATGCTGTGCAGAGTTCTGTGCACTCGACCTGATTCGGACAATCACTGGGCATTACGTGATTTTGCTGGAAAAACGCTGATAACTATTGTGAAGTATGTAATATCACAGCCTTAGCCTTCTTCATTCATATTTTTTCATCTTCATTTTTTTACTTCGTACGACCCGGCTTCACATCTACTTTACGGATCCCAGTAGTTCTCATATTCGATTCGTTTCCTCGCATCCAGCATCCACGATGGTCTTCTGACTTTTAGGTGTGGCTTTGGCCGCCGTATGAGGATTTTCATTTCATCTTGAGTGAGATAGCCGGGTTGGAGTGTTCCCAGTTGAATTGCAGGTAGTGATTTTCTTCCGGAGAAGTCCCTTATCAATTTCACGTCCCTACCTCGGAGGGATGAGAGGCTTGGTGAGTCCGGAACGGGATCGAACCTGCACTGTCTTTATTGTTAGTCGAAATCTTCGTTCATAGGAGTACTGTATTTCCAGAGTAGTTTTCACTGGTTTCAACTGATTTTAAGGAGAGTGTTGAAGTTTTTATCTAAACTCTATCCTCACGTTTTAGAGATCACGGCACAAAAGACACTTGTCGTCGTTCATTTCGTGCTGTCAAGAGAATTTTTGATGATCCATCCTCAAGTTATTCTATGATCTATGGAACTATTACGACTCTGTTAGAGTTTGCTACGCCACTCGAAGTGAGTTAAACATTTCTTCTCATTGAATTTGGTAAATATTGCGAAAATGAGTTTGTAAAATTGCACAATGTGTTTATATGTAGTTTCTTCGTCCTAAGTTTCTGTTTTTTGATGAGATGTATTGTTGTTAGCACAACATTTTTTCCTCATTAGTTGACGTTTCGGCTATTTCGCCTTCTAGAGTCTGAGAAGGTCAAGATTATGCACAATCTACTCATCCAAGTGCTTCCGTACGCTCAACAGAGGAAACTCAAAGCCTATATTTCAACCGCATTTGGAATAACTTGTTCAGGGACTCACCGCATTCTTTGAGTCTTCCATTTATTGATGGGAACCAGCAGTACAGAATTCACATGAATGAGGAATATCTCTCTCCCAAGTTAAAAAATCGGACAGAAATATTGCGTGAGGTCACGCGTGGGAAGAACGGATTCCACCCTGCTATTCATCTTTAGATTTTTGGAATTTATTCAAAATGCGTCGAGGGTTTTGCGCTGAATTTTTAGGGTTGTGTGCGCGGATGGTGACTTCTACTTTGATATCTTCTCCGTTATGTCTCTGTGCCCAGTGCGTGCTTAGTGGAAAGCTTTTTTTTTACGTTTGAACCGGACTACAGGTGTCTACTTTGATAAACGAATCCGCTATTGCTCTTGGGGGCTAACGTATCCACCACCACACCAAAGACGAGACGAAGAACCCGCATGGTGTGGTTGTGAACATGTCAGTCCTCGGAAAGAGTAATAATGGGTTCGGTCCCTACCGTAGACAACTGCGGTCCGGAGTTTTTCAAATATCTCAGCATCATTGTAGTTATATTTAACGTCCTACCCTAGCATGAAAAAAGAATAAGTAGTGAATTTTAAAAACGTGATTGCACTTATGTTTAATCTTCTTTTATAAGGACCCGGAATGGCCTACCCATTTCGCCAATGTATTCCTCCCGTACTTGTAAAAAGAGATCAGTTTTGCGCCATGCATTGACAGTCATAAAAGCAGTTACAAACCAGCTGGCGTTTTAAAGTGTTCGGTGGAATTTCAGTCACTACTACCGAATACTCTAGACGGGCTCTTTTTAAGTAACGTTTTATATCTGCACTTTTGTCGTTAGAAATAAATCTCTCTCTCCTAAACCTACCGCGACGACTTGCCGTTTCGTAGCAGTTGAAAATGGCTATTAGCTGTGACCTGCAAAGTATTTCCTCCTTCTGCTGTCTTCATTCTAAATTTTTAATTTGGCTTGCAACGAAGCAATTAATTAAGGGTTTAAGTGCGCTTAATTATGTAGGATATTTAGACATTTTTTCTATCCTTACTACTTTATTCATTTCTTTACAAAATTAGCTCGAAAAAGTTCCCACGTTTCACTATCTATAATTTGTATCCAAGCTTCTTATTTACATGCTTCTTCCATATATGATATATTTTGGTCGAATTTCAGTTTCAAGCGTAGAAATGTGTTTAATACATTCGTCGTTGTGCCTAATTTGTAGTGATCGGATCTCGTAAACATGGGACCTCTTCAAATTCTGTTTTATTTTTTGCTCTACGCGATGTCAAGTGAACACAGTGCGTAGAGCCCCTTATATAGAATCAAAAAAGGGCAAGGCACCATCCTTGGCAACACTGTCTGTGTTGGTTATTGTTTACGAAAGGGAATGAATCGCCGTAGGTCTTTTGTACTTGTATTTATGCGGCAAAAAAATCTTAACACATCTTTCATCTCTGGTACTTTCACCAGTGTAGTTGTCTTATTATCTTACTAGTACCAGTCTTTCGCCTCAGACTCAACGAGACGGACGAACTCGATTTCGAAGAATATTTTTTGTAAATTGCACTTGGTCGAATGGGAATATGTTAAAGAAACTTTCAAGAAAATTACTAGAACAATCGTCTTTATTTTTGTGGTTGTGGTCACATTCATTCTATCTACTTTTCTAAATATTTAATTTATTCGTTGCTTCTACTGAGCTACAGCAAGTTTGTTTGAATTTTATGGATTCCAAATAACCTTCGCATCTGTCATCGTTCAATTTCTATGGCAGGACCCGACGTCAAGGATCCGTAACCAATTCTATTTATATAAATGCGTCGTTTTCTTGTTCAGCAATCGCGAGGTTTTTAAACAGCGTACATTTACTTCCACAGAAAAACACCATACAATATAACACTAGCTAACTTTTCGGCAGTATCGCCTTCTTCAGAACCTGGAAGGGTACACTGATATCACTGGGTCACGTGATTGGAGGAATAACAATACCTGAGAATGCGCGCTCGCTATTAGAATTGGGTCCAAGTTTTGCACCATCACAGACCATTTCTAAAACGACCCTGCGTAGGATAGCATGCAACCTTTATGACCTTCAATGAGATTGTATATCAGTGTACCCTTCCAGGCTCTGAAGAAGACGATACTGCCGAAACGTCGGCTAGTGTTGTATTGTATTGTGTTTTTCTATGGAAGTAAATTTATGCTGTTTAAAAACCTCACGATTGCTGAACAAGAAAACGACGCATTCATATTCCAATGCCGAGGTTAATAGAAAGTCGTTCCTGGGATCTATTTATACAATTACTTGACAGGTGATTGCTGATGGCACTGATCGATAGAAAACTAGCTCAGAGGCAGGTGGAACGAAAGACCCGCATGTTGTGATGGTGAACGCGTTAGCTCCCGGAAAGCGTAACAGCGCGTTCGTTCCCCACCGCGGACACCTGCGGTCTGGAGCTTTGCAATTATCTCAGCACCGTTTTGATTGTAATTCCGTTTACAATTTTAGCATCGCCAGCATAATCTGCCGCATTGCAAGCACTTTTCTTAACGTATTTTTTTTAAAAATGTGCTTTGTCTTCAAATACTTCTTTTCGATGCTAAGTTCAAACATTTCTAAGTGATATACTATGGGAGTTCTTTTAGTAGGAAATGCCACTATGTATACAAAATTTTCCTTCTTTTTAGAGATGGAGTTATCTTGATATGTATGGTGAAATATTGCCATATTTGCAAGATAGGGTCTTAGAATTCTGTCAAGAGCACCATGTGCCTGTTGTGCCGATCTTTATCGAGTACTAGAAAGCGTTTGACGGCGTCGAAACGAATGCAGCAGTATCAGCGCTCGTTGACGAAGAAGTGTTCTTTCCTATATACGAACGCTAACTGACTTTTATCGGAACTGTTGCACAAATATACCGCTTTTTCGTCGACTCTTCACCATACTCATAGGAAATGAGGTTCGGCAAGACTACACCATACGTCCAAAGCTATTCAATGGTGAATTGCATTGAATAATCAAGTCGCTCGGTTAGAGCGAGAGAAGCTTACTTATTGCTGGAAAATTCTCATCAAATCCTTATTTCGCCGTCGACTTCGTCATCTTCTCAAGAATTACCAAAATGGCAGAGACGATGATCAATGAGCTCAATGAAGCGGGAAGAAAGATCGGACTACTCGCAGATCGGAAGAAGACTCACTTCATGGAAAAGTAATTTTGTGTTGAGAAACAGATCAAATTGGATGGTTCTGTGATTGCTGGGAACATCTCATACGTCTACATTAGGTGTTAATGAACATGGGGAACAACAAGTATGAGGAATTAGGGGAAGCAGAGCACCTTGAACCGCGTTTGGGCCTAGCGACGAAGCCACAAACCACTTGGAAGGCCCGAAAATCCGTGCTCATCTTCTCGATCTAACAGTAATCCCAAGGCTCTGCTATTCTGCAGAGACGTGCAGTGATACAACGATCACCTCAGAAATACTGCCCACTGCTCATAGAGCGTTTGGCAGAATACAGGTGAACGAAATGAACAGTGGTATGGACTCCAAGAGAAAGGCGTCCTCTTGGACGACCATCCAACAATAGGCGGACATGTTCGTGGCCAACGTCAGCCATCTGCATTCACAAATCGGAATGATTTCAGGATAACAGAAGAACCCTCGCTAGCGTAACCTTGTTCAAAGCAGACCACCACCATGAACGAGTGCATAAAAGGTTGACTTTCAGTTAAGCTCAGCATTAATAATCAGCTTTTATTACCTTATGAGCTCTTCTTTATGGGCTGATATAGGGTTATAACCTACGTAGTAATTGATATTAAGCAAACACATAAAACAAAAATGTTGATGCTGATTTTGATACGGCAGACAGGGCGCTTGCGCATGAATCAAAAACATCTACATGCAAATTTCTAAAGGATTGAGGGTGGTTTTTTCAAACTAAAAAATGAGTCTTGAGGGACGAATACGCCACTAACGCACTCGAACTGACACTTTGTTTAGGTTAATTTTCTGATATGAGTGTGTTTCATTCATTATCCTATGTGTGCAACATATGACTAACCTAACTTTCGAGAGGGAAATGAATACTTTTTAATAACCAGAGCTTGGTTTACACTATTGATTTTGATTAAGTCTGTTTAATAT